CCCCAAAACCCCAAAACCCCAAAACCCCAAAACCCCAGAGAGAATAGGAGTGATTGAAGGATTTTAGAGTAAATAGAATCGCCAGGTGGACCTAGGGTGGGGTTTCAGGTGAATTTTGAAGGTTAGGAACTTTAGGTGTGGTTTGAGGAAGGAGCAAAATTGAATGTTTTAATACTTATTGTCATCTATTGTGGTGAATGTAGTGTCTTGAGCTTGTATCTTTGGCTTAAGAGGTTTGTTGATAATTGTGAAGACCTCTTCTAAAGTTGACTGAGAGATAGCAAATTGAGTTATTAACCTGCTTAACCTCTCTATCTTTTTGTTGTGGTATTCTAAAGAAATCCTATCCTTTTGCATCAGGGAAACAAACTCTCTTCTATCCAGATCATTTACCACTTCAGTTAATTCTTCTTGTTTCAAAGTAAATATCAAACACTCTCCTTTTTGACTTAGAAGCAGTCAATCAGGTATAATATCCTGAATAAGCTCCACTACTTCTTCGCTATTCTTTCTCTGAACTATCAAATTAAGTTTATATCCTTCATTGTACCGTTTCTTAAGACCCAAAGAAGTGTCAACTGCTTCAAATTTCCCACTGACCATGATGCCAACTCTATCGCTCAGGACTTCAGCTTCTTCCATTGAGTGTGTGGTTAGTACAATCGTACAGTTTTTCTTAATTTCCCTGATGACTTCCCAGACTTGCTTTCTAATCACTGGGTCCATTCCTGAAGTCGGCTCATCCATGAAAATAATTTTAGGATTCCCGATTAGGCTCATTGCAAGAGAAAGTCTTCTTTTCATACCTCCGGACATCTGCTTTACCAAGAGAGTCCTTCAGTCAGAGAGATTCACTGCAACAAGCTTTTCTGGGATTGTGACCTTTGGGTCCACATTTTTGAGGCCGCAGTAGATCTCCATGTTTTGGTTTACAGTCAGATTTTCCCAAAGGATATCAAATTGGGGAACAACTCCTAAATATCTTCGAGCATCTTCGATATCTTCAAGGATATCAAGTCCCAGTAGTGTTGCTGTGTTACTAGTAGGAGGGAGAATACCTATAAGCATGTTTATAAGCGTAGACTTCCCTGCCCCATTATGGCCAAGAATACAGAACAGTTCCTTTTCAAAAATTTGGAGAGTAGTAGGCTTAACAGCTGAACAGACTCTCCTAAAATTTCTTGAGCAAACACAATATTTATAAGTCTTTGTGAGCCCTTTGATATCAATAGCGACTTGGTTAGAAGAAGTCTCCTTTCGGATTTCAATTTCACTGCTATCATCATCTGTAGAGTATCTTCTGTAGAAGTCATCTTTGTTATTTTTGCACAGTTTCTTCCAATAACTTTTTCGGCATCAGAAGAGTTTGGAATAAATGACCCCTCTGTTACTAGTAACCACGTGATCAAAGTACCAAGTCAGAGTCATATAAAGCACCAAATTGAAAAGGAGGAACCCAAAAGAGGCAAGAGGGCTGATAACATGATACTTGAGCCCTGTGACAATCGCATCTTGCTCTTCAAATAACAAATCTCCCCAAGAGAAAAATTTTCCTGGGACAAAACTTTGATAATTACTATTAAAATGCATAGTAGCAACTCTCATAATCTGCATGAATAGGATGCCATAAGTGAATGGAGGATAGACCAAAAATAAGATTGTTCTTATTATTTTTACAATAATAGAAGTCCCTTCTGCGAAGAACAGCACCAGAACAATAGAATCAAATGAGAAAGCAAACTGTATCAACAATGCTGCAAGAATTATCGAATAACATAAGGTATAAGCTACTATTTTTGACGGAGCCAAGGTACACAGAGTGAATCCAGTGAAGCACAATCATTGATTATATATGAATAACATTATGAATAAAATCATAAAGTTAGTGTTATAGAAAAACTCCACTCTGAAAGCAATTCCTGATATGATAAGAGTGAGGGTATTTATCAATGACAGGCCCATTCCAGTAATCACCCAATGAGCCCAATATAGCTTATGAGAAACACCAATTACGTTCAAACCTTGTCTCAGTTTATGCTCTTTCTCATTGATTACTAAAATAACTATTGCTAGGAAGCTGATGATGCAAGGAAGATTGAACCAATATGACCCCATAAATGCAGTAACATTTAGGCCTTCAATAAACCTATCTACAGGTGTTGGGTAATGACTTGAAGAAATATTTATCCGTGGAGATGCCTCTTGGCCATTTTTGTTAGACAAATAGTCCAGAATCCCATTATCCACACTTTGCTTCAACCTCAGTAGGTCCTTATCATGCATCATTGTATCAGTGGAGTTTTCAACTAAGCTCTCACTGGCAAGGGTAGAGTTAAATATTAATGAGTAGAACATCATTTCTCTATCAGAATTACTTGCATCTCCGTAGTGACAAGGAATATTGACATATTTACTGTCCCAATACGTCATACAAAATGCTATGCCAAAACTAGTTTTGTTTCAGTTATTCAAGAAGTAATCCTTAATCCTGGAAGATCTACCAATGGTTATCTGCTGGATATCAGTCCCAAATTTCAACCCATTTGTTTGAGCCACATAATGAAGTGTATGATTGACCCACTGTGCAGTTTGATGTGTCCTGATATATTCCTCAAAGGAAATATGAGGCATAATTCATACATTTCTTAGATTCCCTTCATAAAATGAGGGAATACAGTTATGCTCATCTTCTTCAAGAGTAGGATCAACTATGCTGAATCCAACAGTTATTCAGTCTTCTTCTGGCTGTCATCTTGGAAGTTTGTAGGATCCAATAACTCCAGGCTCTGGCTCCTCATGTTTTATAAGCTTGTTCATTACCATTTGGATGTAGACTAAGAACCCACAAGCAAGTATAGGTGCAAGAAAGAAAAATAGAAGAAGTCTCTTAGATTTCCATAGTATTATTAAGTTCTTCCTCAGAAGTATTCAGAGAGAATGTTTTTGAGCAGATGTTCATATAGCCATTTTAATAAAGAATTATCAACAAACAATTTGAAATAAGGGGTTTTGGGGTTTTGGGGTTTTGGGG